TTACAGTGCATATCACACCCCTCCCGTACAAAAAACACCCCTCAAGTTTCAATTTGGTGCAATTAAGTCCCTCTAACACATTTAAGACCAAACTGGACTAAAGTACCCTTAGTCAATAATTTTATAAAATATATAAAAATACAAAATTTTGTAAAAAGACCAAAAAGGACAACAAACGGTAGTCGTTTTGCACACCCATTCTGCAATTTGGTCTTGGTGAGGCATCGAGACGACGGTGAGGACAGCAGCGATGAGATGGCAAAGGAAGGAGTGGCGACCAATGTATGAAATTGGATTGACTCAATTACTTGAACTGAGCTTTGTTAAGAGCAGAGTATATGAGATGTTAACAAGGAACCTTCAATGTTCAAAGGACACCCAATTGGCTGGATTTTTGTGGGTTCAATTGGCTGAGCGTCGACACCGCCGCCGCAGATCAACGTCGCGTATTGGTTCCAATCAATACTATATACACACAGTAATATACCAAAGAAACCCACAGTGCAAAGCTAAGGAAATCCGCAAAGAAAATCAAGCATATATATATAAGCATATAAACTCACCAACATCAAATGTATCAAAATTTCTTACTTCACAACCATGTTCCATCTCGTCCTCACTTGCGCATTGATTCCTTAAACCACAAACATCTCTTCCTCCTCTCCATATCCAACCCAATCTCTCTCTCTAGTAACCAAAATTGCGACCACGAACAAATGTCGTAAAAATTGTCTTCGGGCTCATTGCCGTCATTAGTGGGTCTTCGTGCTCAATGCCGTCGCTGAACAAGAAGAGGGGTGGGTCTTCCGGGTTGTTGAAGAAAAAGAAGAAGAAAAGGGGTGGGTCTTCGTCGCCACCGCAAAAACCCCATTGCTGGATTTTTTGGTGGGTTCAATTGGGATTTTTTGTGGGTTGTTCATGGCCCCATGGGTTCAATTAATAGGTTTTGGTTGTGGTGGCAAAGGTTGCAGTGGTGGGTGGAGAGAGAGAAAGAAAGGGGTGGGCAGTTTTGGTGGGCGGTGGTTGTGGTGGTGGCGACTGGTGGGTGTAGTGGTGGCTATGGTAGGGCTGTGAAATAGAATGCATTTACTGCCAAACTGACAATTTCTTTTTCTTTTAGTTTAGAGACAATTAGATAAAATATCACATTATTCAAATCAATAATCTGTATGAATATGTAGTTACAGGCACAACTCCTGTTAGAAGATTAAACAAAAATTGCCAATTATTCGTATTGCATAAGATATTGTTTTCCTCCTTTTTAACATTCAGTTCCATTATGTCATCAATAAATCAAGGCTTATCAAAGAGTCGAGGTTATTTAAGGCAGTTTTCCTCTTCTCGTAAGGATTTGGGTTGTTTGTGAATTCTTTTAGCTAGACAAGAAAAAAAGGGGTGGGCAGTTTTGGTGGGTGTGAACAGGTTGTGGTGGGTGTGGTGGTTGTTGGCCATAGAACTGGTCCGGCGATCTCTGCACATTCCGGCAACTCCTTCACCTTCATTATCATACAATTTGTTTATAAATATTAATATATAATTGAAGGCTAAATTGTAAAATGACACAGCTTAGTGGGTATTTTCGGAAGAGTAAAAGGGTAAAATGGAGATTACAGTAATAATTTATGTCAGATTTCTGACAGAGGGGTAATTTTGCACAATTTCAAAAGATTAAGGATATTTATTGCACCATTTTTCAAATAGGGGGTAAAAGTGCTGCTCAGAGTATAATTGAGGAGTGTTTTATGCACTTACCCCCTGATATTATCATTAAAACCCTGAAATAAATAAAAACACTAAAATAATGTAAAATCACAAATAAAACTACTACTAAGATAATAAAACATACAAATTAAAAGGCTAAAATGTATAACATACAAGTTAAGGGGCTAACATTCAACGCCTAACATAAGGTGACATTTATTCCTGTAGCTCTATTTCTTTCCAATAAAAAAGAAACTAACGGAAAGGGCAAAAAAAGAAAAGAAAAGATAAAGTGTGTTCACTTTTTGTGTTGTACTGCTTATTACAAATTTAATGAAATATGAAGATAAATTACATGCAAGAGAATTTAAGTACGATTTAACAAGTGATTTTGTAAGTAACTAAATGTTAAATTTGATATTACTATTTATAGGGAAAATTTTCTTTCTCTCCCTCCTCTCCTGTCCAATTTTGAATGGATAAAAACCTTCCAAAAACATGGACTAGGAAGGATGAAATCCTCCCTCTCTTCCCTTCCTTTTCTTCTTTCCTCCCTCTCTTTTATTCCTTCTAACCAAACAAAAAAGCTTTCTTCTATCCTCTTCTCTTCCATCCTTCCCAATCATTCCTTTTAACAAAACATAGCAATAATATACTCAATTATATAATCATGTAGCTCCAACCCTTTCCAATAAAAGAGAACCGAAAAGAAAAGAAAAGAAAGAGAGAGTGTTCACCTTTTGTGTTGTTGTGTTTGTTATACAATTGGTTTGTAGGTGATTTTGTTAAAATGAAATGACACTCTCTCTCTCAAACAGAAACGGTTGCTTAATTTTATGATTATTATTATTATTATTATTATTATTATTATTATTATTATTATTCGTGTGGCTATTATTAGATCGATCGTAGTCTAATAAAAAATATTATTGCACTTTATTAATTAAATTGTTAATTAGCTTACCCGAAAAAAAAAAAGAGTGGTTAAACAACTAAACAGCTTAGTCCTTCCAGAATATATATCCTCCCATAAAAAATGGCCGATGTATTAATGATGAAACTACTCTTGATTATGAAATTAAGTTTAAATCTTGTTTGATAAAACATGAATTGTTCAAAGCATCATCTCTCCATTATTTAGTACTCCAATAAATGAACCGGTTAAATATATTTATCCTAAGCATAGCTCGACTGAAAAATAAATAAATTTTGCATATATGACAAATTTTCAAATTGGGTTCAAGTTAATGAACATCTTGATTAATAATGAAATACCATATTTATGGCCTAAGATTAATGACGGTCTGTCCAAAGAGCATTACCTTTTAACATATATCCACATATTTATAGCGCCTTTGGTATGTAAGAATGATATGAAATGTTCATTCCAATTATGATTTTTATTTAGTATGCAATTTGAAATGAGAATGACTATTTCATTGGAATGAAAATCATTCTTACAAATAAAATCCATTTTAAAACTAATTCTATGAATAGACATTTCATTTCCAATTAAATTTTTTAAAAAAATTAAATTCCTAAAAAATCGTTACATTCTAAGTTCAAAAACCACTACCACCATTGTCTTTCATCGCCAACATTTCTATTGCCTTCTACCGCTATCACTATCACCGCCACCATTATTGCCGCCTTCATCCACCACACTCCTGCCACATCCATTATCTTCCACCACCAATTTCCACTACTGCCACCGTCTTCCACCACTATAACCTTGAACCTTCGACCACTACCACCTCCATTGCCTTCTACCAATGTCATTGCCACCGATACCGTCACCATTACCGCCATTGCCATCACCACCACAACAATCCACCACTGCCATCTTCCACCATCACCACCTACGCCAACGCCACCTTCTACCATTGCCACCACTATCGCCGCTTTCACCACCACCGCTAGATCTACCGCCTTCCACCTCCACCTCCACCACTAGCGACACCTCCACCACCTCCTCCATCGCTTTCTGCCTTCTGCCACCGCCACTATGTTCCACCACCACCACCACCTTCCACCATTACCACTGTTACTATGTTCAACCACCACCACCGCCACCTCCACTGTCTTCCACACCACCACCACTGTCTTCCACACCACCACCACCACCGCCACCTCCACTGTCTTCCACACCACCACCACCACCACCGTCACCTCTATTGCCTTTCACAACCACCATCTATATTATTGCCATCGTCCACCACCACCACACCACTACCTTCCATCATAAGCACCTACACCACAGACACCTTCCGCCATAACCACCACCTTCCACCAACACCAGTGTTGCCTTCTGCCATAACCACCACTTTCCTTCCACCACTTTTCACTTACACTACTACCACTTTTCACCTCTACTATCATTGTTACCGTAACCATTTCTTTTAAAGAAATAAAAGAATATTATTTTGTTAATTTAATTTATTTGTCACTAATTAAAATATTTTAAAAAATTCAATTTAAATTTTATTATATTTAAAATTTTTAAATTGATCTACTCAATTACTAAAATGATTATTATCATTTTATTCTTCCACTGTTCATATTTGTAGCTAAATCACATTCTACTCCCATTTTCATTTCATCTTGAATTCCATTGCATTGGTGCACAGCAAACCAGCATGACATATAGTTATGCAAATGCTTATCACCGACACTTACCCGAAAAAGGCAAATAACTAATTAATGACTGACACTTAAATCTTCCTTGGACGTTATCTGGCAAAAGTCAAGACTATTTGTTTTCTATTTTATTTATTTATTTTCAAGTAGCTAAGAAAAATGATTTGACCATACTACAACAATTATTTAGATGCTCAGCTGGCAACAGATGTATACGTTAAACAGACCAGCATAGCAAATGGACTACCAACAATATATCAAAGTATCATATCAACGCGAATACAGCCGCATACCTATCCCCAAAAAAATTAATATTAATAAATAAATAAATAAACAATATATGAAGAAAAAAAACACTGAATCAATTTTTATTTTTATTTTTAAATTTTTTGATAAACTAAGAAAATTAAAAACAGAACACAAATAATATATTAAATTTAAATTGTGATTTAATAAATTTAAATAAATATTTATATAAATTAAGTGAACCAATCGAGTAACAAATTTAATATACTGGCAATTAATTGTATCAGACATAACAAATTGTGGTACACCCACTTCCACAAGATTTGTAAACAGTGAGGATGACGTGAAGGCAACAAGTGTCATTGACCATTTGGCAATATATATCAGCATCAGCTCTCCCTCTGTCTATTTAAGGTGCTCCATAGCTTAGCACTCAACCTCACAGCTACAACTGGCCATGCCCATTTTGTTCCCCATCATCATATAAACTTGCTCTCGCTCGTACTCTCGTTCTTGTTTTCACTCTGAGTCAGATGGCTGACAGACAACCCGGAAACAATGGTTTCCCAGACCAACCACAAGCACCTATTCCGGGTTTCGAACCCCCGAAGAAACCAAAGAGAAACAAGTTTGCTTTTGCTTGTGCCATTTTAGCTTCCATGAATTCTATCTTGTTGGGCTATGGTGAGTTACTATAATATACTACGTGTGTGTGTGTATATATATATATATATATAATTCGTTCTCTGTACTACGTTTTCATGTAATTAAATTAAACTCAATCACTACAGATATTGGAGTTATGAGTGGAGCATCAATCTACATCAAGAAGGACCTGAAGATCAGCGATACACAAGTGGAAATCCTGATGGGTATCCTGAACCTCTACTCTCTTCTGGGGTCGGCGGCGGCGGGCCGGACCTCGGACTGGATCGGACGCAGGTACACCATAGTCATGGCTGCCGGAATCTTCTTTGCGGGTGCGCTGTTGATGGGTTTCGCCCCAAACTATGCATTTCTTATGTTTGGCCGCTTTGTCGCCGGCGTCGGCGTCGGCTACGCTCTCATGATCGCCCCCGTCTACACCGCCGAGGTCTCGCCGGCGTCGTCCCGTGGCTTCCTCACATCTTTCCCGGAAGTCTTCATCAACTTTGGTATGAATATATGATACTACTCATCCTCATATTTTGTTTATTTATTTTTCATTAACCCTTTCTACTCACTGTACGGTGATTCTTGTGTTTCATTTTTATGAATTGTTTTTATTTATTACTAATTATGACAATGATTTCAATGTGTTATTATTATAATTATTATTTTTTTCTATCCTAACACACTTCACTAAAATAATTATTATATAATGAATGTAGGTAAGACTTTTTTTTTTTCTTTTTTCAAAAGAAATTCTACTATGTCACAATTTTTTTCTTTGGTTCATCTTTTTTTCTTTCTTTTTCTCTTCTTAAGTAGACGCTGGGACACAGATCTGATGGACACACACTCGTTCTAGTCCGTGTCAAGACAAAACAGTTAGAGCAGAGAAGCTAAGATGTTAGCAATTGAAAATGAAGTGTCAGCACTGTGTATTAAAAAAAAGGATTTCATTTATTATTATCTTATTAAAGTTATTAAAAAGAGGATATGGACTTTTGTGTTTATAAATATTTGTGGTCATTTTAATTCATAATTAAATTTCAAGAACAAATGTTTTTTTTTAAATATATATCATATGTTAAAGAGTTTAAAATAATAACAATAGTAAGTGAAAAAATCATCTTAATGATAAAACTGAAAGCAACTGCAGAACAGTATCAATAATTTTACTCTTTACCTTACAAATGATAATAATAATAATTTTATTTTATATATATATATATATATATATATATATATATATATATATATTTACTTTTTGAAAATAAAATTTTATATTAACATATATTACAAAGACACAAGTTTAATTAGTTTATTTATTTTAACAGGTATACTACTTGGATACGTATCGAACTATGCATTTTCCAAGCTCCGACTGAACTTGGGTTGGCGAATCATGCTCGGAGTCGGAGCCCTTCCGTCAATTTTCTTGGCAGTCGGCGTGTTAGCCATGCCCGAGTCGCCGCGCTGGCTCGTCATGCAGGGTCGACTCGGCGACGCCAAGCGAGTCCTCGACAGAACATCAGACTCCAAAGAAGAGGCTGAGCTCAGACTCGTCGACATAAAAGAAGCCGCCGGCATTCCCGAACACTGGAACGACGACGTCGTCAAGCCCCCGAAACGCAACCACGGCGAGGCCGTGTGGAAAGATTTGCTCCTCCATCCCACGCCGGCCGTCCGTCACATCTTGATGACCGGCATCGGAATTCACTTCTTCCAGCAAGCGTCCGGCATAGACGCCGTCGTTTTGTACAGCCCCCGAATCTTCGAAAAGGCGGGAATCAAAGATGACACCCACAAACTATTGGCGACCATGGCGGTTGGGTTCGTGAAGACAGTGTTCATCTTGGTGGCCACGTTTTTGCTGGACCGGAGCGGCCGACGACCTCTGCTTCTCACCAGCGTGGCAGGTATGATTGGGTCTCTGACTTTGCTGGCTGTGGGTTTGACCATCATTGACCACTCGCATCATAAGATAACCTGGGCCATTGCTTTGTGCTTGATCACCGTGTTATTGTACGTTGCGTTCTTCTCGATCGGGATGGGTCCCATCACGTGGGTGTACAGTTCGGAGATCTTTCCGTTGAAGCTGCGTGCTCAGGGTTGTAGTATGGGTGTGGCCGTGAATAGGGTCACGAGTGGCGTCATCTCCATGACTTTCCTCTCGCTCTCTAAGGCCATCACCATTGGTGGGGCGTTCTTTCTTTTCGCGGGAATCGCATCTGTGGCTTTTGTATTCTTTTATACGCTGCTCCCCGAAACACAGGGTAGAACCCTCGAAGATATGGAGGTCTTGTTTGGGACTTTTTTCAACTGGAGGGCCACTGCCAAGAAACTAAAGCGCCAGAAGGAGGTTAACGATGAACGTGATGGTAACGGCCAGGTTCAGATGGCCACAAACACCCAAAACTAGGTTGTGTAAGGGGTAGTTAGGTCAATACGTGTCTAGCTAAAGGTCTTTTATGTCTTTTAATCCTGGCGCATGTGTCCCCTCTGGCTCTATAGAAATTAAAGCTCTGTTTCGGACGAATGAAAAAGGGAATGTGGTGATCAACTCACCAAGTCACATGTAATGGAAACCCAAAAATAGAAGGGAAAAAAAACAAAGAAGAGTTAAGCCTTGTTTGGTTAGAGATGTGTCTTTTATGAAACTGAACCACGGAGATGGATAGTTCCTAGATGTGATTTTAAATATGATAATGAAAAGGCTGGTTGAGATCTTATTAGTAGTATTTTATGTTGCTGTATGACAAATACTAAATTATTAAATACTCAGTATATAATAAATAAAAAAATTGTTGGGAAATACGAAAATCTCCAATAATTGAGAAGGTGCAGCATTATGATTCAGTACACTGTAGCTGCATGGTACATGATGTTTGTTACATTTTAGTCTCTTCATACGGATTCTACTAATATGTGGCTGGACTTTTAAATGCTATGCACATGCTATATATATAAAGTTACTGGGTGTGGAGGGAAAATAATTCCCAACCAATGATAAGTTGACATATCAACACGGGAGGGTCCACCAAAGACTATGTCGACTACTCAACAATCAACTTGGGCCAAAGCAAGAAGATTGGGCCGAATGAGTTGAATACGATGGGTTGGGCTCATTACAGGAGCTCGAATCTACTAACTTTAAGCCCACTTCCGAACGCATGCAAAGCCCACCATAATTGCAGTTTGATTAGAAGAAGAATTGTTATTCATGGCAACCAAATTATGTAAATCTTTATGGATTATTTACACAAACCTTCCCTATGGTTTGTCATAATTACATGGACTTCCTCTGTAATTTGGAAATTTACCCGAACCTCACCTAAAAATAAAAATATCCTACAGGGACCTTCCTTATGTGTGAGGAACCATCAACAGCACTAACGAACGTGTCAAATTTACTAAAATGCCTTCAATTTTCTATGATAAGTGACTAAAGTACCCATATATATATATATATATATATATATATATATATATATATATATATAGAGTAGTGTACATAAAAATGATGAATTTACCCATCTAACCTCATATTATTATATCTATACATACATCTATTATCTGTCTCCATCTTCATCTTCAGACAGTGCAGATTGTCGTCTTTGTCGCCGGAGATCGCTGCAAATCAACCCCACAACCACCATCGATCCCATGACCACCATTGTTCCCACACAACCACCACTCACCACACAACCACCTATAATACTCATCACAACCACTGTTCTCACCCCCACAACCACTTGTCAACGCAACCACCATCCCATAACCACCACTGTTTCTGCTGCACAACCACCACTCACCCATAACCACTACAATCCTCACCGTGACCACTGTTCTCACCCCATAACCACCGTCACCATTCCAATAGCCGACCACCACCACCACAACCACCACAACCACCACAACCCCCATAACCGACGGTGATTTGGTGGTGGACTGTTAGGAGACTGCGCAAATACCTTAATTTGAAAACAAATCTAAAGTTTCAATAAGCGAATGAGGATGCAGATTCAGGAATCGAAGGGTTCATGATTTAGGGGCTTAGTATAAAAAGATAATTGGGTGTGAATGTCGTGCGATTAGGGTCGTTATCGGCCATTAAAGACCCTCGCCGCCGCTTCCGCCTTAACATATCATCGTTGTATGATGCTTACCCCTAACGTGTACACAAAATAATGCACAACACTTTGAGTTTGGAAATTAGTGTCAAGTGGGTATCATACTTAAATTTATAAACCGCTTAACACTTATACTATGTAGTATGAGTGAGGAGGGGTCGTCCCAAAGGATTATGAGAATCGAGCAATGTCGTGGAATCACAATTAGGGCTAGTAGGTCGAGTGATCAAACAATTGGTTGGTTAGTTGATTAGAGAGTAACTAAATTAAACTAAGTAATAGCAAAAGAGTGCAATTAAAAATAAGTAAGAGAGAGAGAAAGATCTTGGGGTTTAGAGATCACCACCAAGCAATGCATTTCTATATCATTAACAAGTGATTAATGAGGGCAAAAGGTGTGATACCCCTCGGATCCGAGACAACAGGTTGACCAGGCCCAGGCCCAAACCCGAGGGATATCAAAGAATCAATATGTTATAACGAACACAGAATACAAAAATATGAATTTAAGAATAAAAGTTTAAAGCTGAAAAGAAAACTAAAAGATAATCCTTAAATAATTAAATACTCAAATCTGATAAACCAAAAATCCATAATTTGAACAACTCGGGAATCCATCTCTAGTGGACCCCTAATAAAAATCTCACACTGAATGAAGGTAAAATGGAAGATAAAATCCAAATCCAAGATCTGGAAAGAAATCCTACATCGTCGGTAGAATGGAAGATCGTCTCTGCTCAGCACGAACAAGCTCAAGCCTGGAACTGACGTACACCTGAAAAATAGGAGTGGGTCAGGCCCACGAACAAGTTTTATCCTACTACAATCCAAGCAGAGACTCGATACGCATGTACATACTAAATAGTTCAACAATAACTAATAATCCGTACATAAATATATCCACACTACTGGACTCTCGCTAGGCTATAAAGGGGGTCTCAACCTGTATAGAAGGCATCACACAATACGCACCTGAGTGGGCATGAGTACCTAAACCTAAACAGGGTATACCTCAACCTTCACAGTCAGCTACACATCCAACTGCATATACGCACCCTAACCGTCGACACTGAGACTCAAGCTCATGACACGGTAACATAAAAATATATCTAAACTCTGTTTCTAACCATCCACAAGAAATCCAGTAAGTCACTCGGCGTATTCCACCGTACCGACTTATATATATAAGGAGGATTGTATTTTATAACCCGTGCCCTTACTCCAAAATAGGTAGGACTTAGCTACTTGAGCTAATCCAAACCCAGTATGATACCGTCCCATACCGGTGCATACAATTCCATCCGTCCAACAATTCATATGGCATTGACAATTAAATAACAATATCAACCATTCCAAACTAAGCATATTAGAGTAGAGTAAACAACATGCTTAAGTAAACCAATATAGAAATCACAACTTGGTCACACAGAACCGTGTCTGTAAATATAACTCTATTCCCAGTTTCCATATAATTAACCCAGCCCAATAGACATTGTATCAATCTGTTCCATGGCATGCAAAATAAATGTAAGTAGTGTATCATATATATAATTTTCTATCCAACAAATTGATGCACTAGGTTTTACGATGCAACCATCAATTAATCCTTAACAAAAATATAGATTTAAAACATGTATTTTTTTTTTCAAATATATGTAATTAACAGTGAACCAACTATCACAAAAATTTCTAATAAAATTTAGAAATACAGTATCCAAAACCAAACAGGTCTGCAAGGCACATACAAAATCCATACAGTTTTAACGATTAACACTCAGTGCCTAAATTTATATTACTTTGTTCCTCTATACTCTAATCTTCCTCTGGACAGTATCTCAACACTCATTACAGTAATTAATCTCCTCAAACAATACTAGAAATTCACTAACCAAGAGGCTTCCTTACTGAACTGAAAAAAATAAGAACAGAATGTAAAAACTGTGAAGAAGACAACATGGAGCAGACTCAACACCCTTTAAAATTTATTCCCGCACCAGACCACTATTAAACCATCCATTACAGTATTTAGTTTCTGTTAGAAAACTTAGAAATTCCATACCTAAGAACCTGTCTCACTGAAAACCAAAAGAAAAATCAATAGAACGTAAAAACTGGGAAAAACCAAAATGGAGCAGGCTCCAAAAACTATGGAGCCACCTCCATTGGCCTTGGAGCCGGCTCCTAATTCCTTGGAGCCGCCTCCTTTACAAGGAGAGCCGGCTCCCTCCAAGGGAGAGCCGGCTCTCTCCCTCATCTTCTCTCTGTTCTCGCATTCTAGCATTGTTTACACCTTCGGCACTTCAGTATTTTGGTTTCCAAAATTTATGCCTTACTTCCAGTAAATTTCCACCCTTATTTATGTCCTTAGTATACTACTAGCATGGATTTAAACAAAGAAATTTACAAGAAAGTTTCAAGTGTACTCAGTTTAACAAGTATAAACACATACTGATACGCTTCCAATTTCTAAACATGAAAACATATATTTTCTTTTTGTTTTAAACATGTAACTCAACCTGAAACTATTTAAGTATGCAAAGAACATGAAGCCTAAGGGAGACAGTTAAGACAGAACTTGCCTTTGAGACTTTTGTTCAAAGTCTCTACGTCGGCTTCTAAGGTTCCGGCGAAACTCTGTTTCTTCACTTGGCTAATTACCCAGACGTCACCAAAACTTCTCACCACCTTACTGTGTCGTAATGATATTCTAAAACCCTAGGCAGACCTCTTAGATGAGTATTTATAGAACATACTAACCCTAGACTTAGTTAAACCCTAATCAGATTACTTGGCCCATAACACAATCTAAGTGAAAAGCATGACGGCTACTTATGTGTTTACCTAATGGAACTATATAAAAGTCACGTAAAAACTATTAAATAAATGCATACCATTTAAAGCAATAATTTAAACAACTAATTACAACAACCAATTAAATAAATTAAAACAATTAATTTCAAATAAAACAAATAATCAAATAAATTGAAAACAAATAACCAAATAATGAAATTAAAAATTATTTATGCAAATAATCAATTAAACAAAACAATTAGTCAAATAATAAATAAAAAAACCATTTATGCAAATAATCAATTAAACAAAACAATTAGTCAAATAATAAATATAAAAAAACAATTAGTCAAATAATAAATAAAAATCGCAATTTAAACAATAATTTAAATACCAGGACTATCCTTTTGAAATTAGGGGTATTACAAAAGGTGTGTTGCAATATTGGTGTGTGTGTGTTTGGTTGATTCAACAAGTAAGGATGACTAGTTAAGCATGTGTTGTCTAAACATCATGTGAAAGGCACAATATATCTAAGTAATGAAGCATATATTGTCTAACCAAGATGTGAAAGGCACAATAAATCAAAACAAGTCATTAATCATTTCATTAAACTCACAATCCAAACACAACACAAGGATAGAGACATATGCTAATTGCATTCAAAAGCTTGGATCATCAAACAACAAGCATTGATTGTCCTCCCATTTAACACTACACTACAACTACACTACTAACATGAAAATAAACTAAGGGAGAGGCACAATCCATCAAGATATAAGCATGAACCATCAAGAGAATCACAAAAG